AGATGAAACCTACCATCTTTCTAGGGGTTCGTGCAGTCCAGTCTTCCATTTCCAGAATTCTCTTTCCACTTCTTTCATGGTTTATCTCCTATGAAAATATAGATGAGCATTAACTGTAAGTCAAGGCAGGGGAACACAACAGTGATTCTACATCCCCACCCTTTTTTACATCACAGTAGACCATGGCAATGCAATGTTAGTGGCACAGGCTATGACAGACAGGCTTTTGTGAGTACTGTTACGTCCCAGTTGTCCCAGAGGTGAGTACTGGTGCAAGTACTGGTGCAAGGCAGCCCTCATGCTGTACATTACATCACATTTTGGCTCACGTTCTGTAGAGCTGTCCTTCTCTTTCCAAATCCTTCTCTCTTCTCCTATGTCTCAATCTCCTAATGTAATAAAAATAACAAACACCATCTCTGTCATTTTCCTTACTGTTTTCTAGTTACAGTAAAGAGCTCCCCTATAAAAGTGTGAAATGTAAATGGTTGTTGGCTTAATTGCCTTTAACTTATACTTGGTACAGAAGATAGTAAAGTTCTAAATACTATTGAGCATGCACTTTATCTCTCCAGGTGGCATTGCTCCTACCTGGGACCTATGACAGATTTCCAAATGATAGGATTAATTTCTTATGCTAAATTCTTTTAACACAATTGCAAAAGATATTTCTTGGGCCTTGTTTTTCTGTGGCTCATTGTTCTTACCACTAAGCCTCACAGATGCTGTGTTTGGTCCTTCTGTCCTAGATCATAAAATCTACTTTCTGCTATTTTCATAGTTTTAAACATCATTCCTATGAAAGTAAAAGAATCATCTTTGCAAATAAGCATACAATTAAAGAGGGATTATTTTTAATCCTAGCAAGGACACCAGTGCATAAGTTAAGCAAACAATCATTGCTTCTGCAGTGGAGAAAACTAGATTCAGGATCAGTAACAGTTCCTTCAGTTTTAGTCCTTTTCATACGAAAGAGAAAGACCTAAAAGAGAAAGGAGATCATTCTATTTTGTATATTCCCTGTTTTCTTTTCAGGGCAATCTCCATTAAACCTCTGCTCTCAAATCCCATGGACTGTTCTTTGAAGGGCCCCAAGCTTCACCCTTCTTAAGCTCATTTATAGATTTTCTAACTCACTCAGGTTTTGAGATTTGCTTTTAAAATCATGTTTACTTAAACATGATCAAAATGTTAAAAAAATTTTCATCCCAAATCTCTTAAATACATTGATTTTTTTTGTCTATTTAGCAATCCATATTCAAAATGCCAATCATATGAGAATAATACTAAAAGATGATAAACTTCACCCCATTGCGAGCTATTAGAGGGTGGAAACTTAAACCTGGAAATGGAACTTGCAAAGGTAATTAAGTTCAATGAGGCCATAAACATGGGACCCTAATCCATTGGGACAGTGACTTTAAAGGAAGAAGAAATTTGAGATAGGATGTCTTGTTTCACCCTGTACTGCCCTGCACTGCCTTGGGAGTCTTCAGGAGTCTCCATGAGCAAGAAGGACCTCAACAGATGGGCCTGCTTGATATTCAACATCCCTGCCTTCAGAAGTTCACACTGCATTAACCTTTATTCTTTATAATTCATACAGAATGTGGTATTCAGTTATAGAAATAAAAAGCAGACTAGGGCAAGTGCATATCTCAAAAGGAAATTGAGGCACACATTCATTGAGTTTTAATAAAAGATTGTATTAAACTACTAGCATACAATGAAGAGGTATTTTAAATGATATATTTTATTTTTTAGAAAAGTTTTAGATTTACAGAAAAATTAAGTAGCTAATACGGAGTTCCCGTATGCTTGTTTGCCCTGTGCCAAGTTTCCTCTATCACTAACATTTTATTTAGGTATGATACATTTGTTACCACTCATGTAATGATATTAATACATTATTATGAACTAAGATCCATACTTTATCTGTGTTTTTTTGGTGTGTGTTACCTAAAGTCCTTTTCCATTTCAGGATCCCATTAAAAAGGAATATGTCTCCTTAAGCTCTCATCAGCTGGAATAATTTCTCAAAATTTTCTTGTTTTTGATTACTTTGTCAGTTTTTTAAAATTATTTTTATTTATTTATTTTTTAAAGATTTATTTATTTTATTTGAAAGTCAGGGTTACACAGAGAGAGATGGAGAGGCTGAAAGAGAGAGGTCTTCCATCTGCTGGTTCACTTCCCAATTGGCCACAATGGTCGGAGCTGTGCTGATCCAAAGCCAGGAGCCAAGAGTTTCTTCCAGGTCTCCCATATGGATGCAGGGGCCTAAAGAGTTCGGCCATCTTCCACTGCTTTCCCAGGCTGTAGCAGAGAGATCGATTGGAAGTGGAGCAACCGCGACTTGAACTGGTGCCCATATGGGATGCAGGCAGAACATGGGAAAGATCTCTCCTAACGAAGGAGAAGAATTTGGGGCTAAGTGATAGCTCAGCACTCATCCATACAGGGGAATGTTTCAAGCTCAGGGCACAGATTTCATGATTGTAGAGGGGTGAATCATGTGAATGTACTTCCCCAGCACATATACATAATATTAATGTGACTTGATTCACACCTTGGCCACTAGACTGAGTTGGGAGTTGTCATTTTTCTTCACAGCAAAGTTAATCTTGTTTCCTTTCTGTTCTATAGATTATTATGGAATGAATTTATTCTATACAGGCCACATTTATGGACTGCAGATTTATTTTCTTCCCCCTTGACAGCAGAATAGCTATATAAATTGTGCAGAAGTCTTGCAGTCAAAATCTGTCCCCTCTTCTCAATCTATTTGTATGTTCAATCACTTAATTCTGTTATGACAGATCATGTGTGATGTTCATAACATGCTTTTAACTGTTTTCTATCTGAGGTACATATTGTTTCTTTTAAAAATCACTTTTTATGCCTTCTCTGACTTGTAATTGAGCATTTAAATTGACTTCTTTCACACTAGGGTTCACAGCAAAATTGAGAGGAAAGTACAGAGACTTCTCATACAATGCCTAGTGTAACACAGTTCGTTTATTCATTTACCTACTAAAGGATGTCTTAGTTGTTTCCCTATGTTGTCAATTACGCATGAAACTGCCGTAAACATCTATCTGCAGGTTTTGTATGGACGTAAACTTGACCCTTTTGAGTAAATTGCAAGGAGTGTGATTGCTGGACTGCTGAGTAAGAGCAAGGTTTGAAAGAAATCAACAAACCATCCTCTGGAATGTCTTTATGATAATTTCCTGAACTTCCTTCCTCCCCATTTATTTTTCATCAGTTTACAACAACTTGAAATATACTATTACAATTTGTCTAAATCACTTTTCAAATATTACTCTTTCACCCGATGAGCAGTGAAATCTATTCCTACTTCTTTCTTCCCTTCACTCCCTACAATGTTTATTGGATTCATTTCATTTATTCCCACAATATAATCACATGATACATTTGCTGTCATTATTTTCAATAAATCATTATTTGAAACAAGAATTTTAATATGAAATATATTATTTATCTAATTGCTTTTCTATTTATCACTATTTGTATAAATCCAAATTTCTGATATTTTTTCCTTTTTACAAAACATCTTAATATCTTACGGGGCTGGTTTGCTTCTAATGAACTACCAAAATTTCTGTTTTTCTTATAAAGTCTTCATTTTCCTTTCATTTTTGAAGAATTAGTTTGAAGGCTATAGAATTATAAGTTATTGGAGTGTTTTAACATGTAATATTCTATCCATATACTTTTTGTTGCATGGTTGCCCAAGTAGACAGTATTTCTTGTATCTTTTCCTGGTAGGCACGATGTTTTCCCACTATCTTCTTTCAAAACATTCTCCTCTGTTTTCACTATTCTACTGTTTGTTTTTTCTTTCCAAATTCTAGGAGAGCCTAGAAATGCCTAGAGTTGCTAATTGCCCCTTCCTTCCAAGAAAACAAAGGCTCTATTAAAGCCTTGTTATTGGGAAGCATGTATTAGTTATGGAATCTTGTGAATATATTACCAAGTATCTATTTTGACAGAGCTATGAGAGGATAATTTCTAGATTTCCACTATGAGATTGTGGTATGATTGCTGGAGGTAAAAACTATGATAATGTAGAGCTTCTGTCACAATATAGGCTTTAGGGATTTGTCTTTCTTAACCTAGTCTCCATTCAGCCCTCAGAAGTTCATCAAAATTACACTTTAAGGTATTCTACTCATTGTGTGGCTCCATTGGATTCTGTCATGGGTAAACTGATCTGGATTTTGATTCTATATAGTTACCTATCTCTACAGAATTCAGCATAGTATTTTCCCATATGAATTCAATCTTCTGATGAATCCAAGAAAAGTCATTGATTTTTGATGTATTTAGGTTTTTTTCTTATAAAGATGGAAGTTATAAGATCTGAACACTTTGCCCAACCAAAGTGATTTCAGAAGTATTAGGAATAGATTTTTAAATAACTTATTTGAATGGGAATAACAACACAGGCATGTTCACTTTTTCCATGATTACAGTTTTTCCTTTAAAGCCACATATTTTCATTTGATCACATCAACATAGTAAATTGAAATTTTAGAGATTTAATGCTGTAACTAGTACTCAAACAGTATTTTTCACTTTATGTTTCTGTGTGGGAGCAAACTGTTGAAATCCTTACTTAATGTATACTAAGCTGATCTTCTGTATATTAAGATAATCGAAAATGAATCTTGATGTGAATGAAAGGGGAGAGGGAGTGAGAAAGGGGAGGGTTGTGGAGGGGAGGGGCGGTATGGGGGGGAAGCTATTGTAATCCATAAGTCGTACTTTGGAAATTTATATTCATTAAATAAAAGTTAAAAAAAAAACAATAAAAAAATAAAAAATGCATACTTGAAAACAGAATGAAGAGACCTACAAAAAAAAAAAAAAGAACTTTGCTTGATACTTCCTACACTTGTTCTGATAATTATATAGGTTATCATGTAGCTTTCAAAATATTTTAAATAAGATATTCTGTTTTATATTTGTTTCAGGATTCTACAGATCATCTTAATTTCAGGCAGATCATTTATACAACAGTGAAGACATTAACCTACTTTACTGGCTGGTTGTGAAGAACAGCTGATATTCTTGACTGACAAACACTCACTGATAAAAATTGCTAAGGAAATCCTTGATAATTTACAGATTGTAGACCCAACCCTACACTCAGTGTTGTCCTGTACTGAATGATTAAATTGGGTTCAGTCTAAATTTCAAATATATATACACACATACATATTATATAGTTTGCATATATATATATTTATATATACCTTTGAAATCACTAGAAATTTGACTTGATACATGATTCTTAAATTGTGAATAAGTAATCTGGGACTAATAAATGCAGGCTTTGTAGATAGGTCATTACCAAAAACAGTTTTGCATCTTTACTGGGGAAAGAGTTACCCCAGTCACTAGATTCAGACAATTCTTTGTATTTGTTCTGTAGAAACTCTTACTTTGTCTTCTAAGGTAAGCACACAACTACTCTCCCACCTCTGTTTAAAAATCACAGAAATGATATTTTTAAAACCTATATACTGTTATGCTCTCTGTGTCATGTGGCATAACATGTATAGTCAGCTTATGTAGACATAGGAGATAAAATACATGCTGAGGTCTGATCTGAGAGTGTAGTTTACTTTTACAATCTACACACCAAAGAGGAATGGGCAGAGTTTATTCTTTCATCATTTTCAGTCTCCATATGCTGCCTGAATGTGACTCCCCACCTTCCCAACTTGGACATTTGTTGAAAGGCACAGAAAGGATATATAGACGTGACAGAATATAGCTATTTGAAATTTGAAATTTGCTCTTATTTTAAAATTTGTAGTCTAATGGCAAGCAATAGTGTAGGAAACTATTGATATGGAGTATGTTGGAGGCAGAAATTATAGTTTTCACACTTTTCATCCTAATATTAGAGAAAGTTTTGAGAAAGGACCACCTTAAAGAATCACAACCATAGACTAACTGGCTGCTCTGAGAGGGGTGCGCTGATTCACCTCTGTTATTTATTAAACTTAGCTGCCTTGTAAACTTGAATGTGAGTCCTACTTCTTTGGGCAAAATATGAGGTATTCTGTGGAGTGAATGTACACAAAACCTTTGACATTTTATTTACCTCATCAATAAGACTATAACTCTTAAAATCTCATTTTGGTAATTGTATGGGTTAAAAAAAGTTAGGGTTGAGCATTTTTCCTGTGGCTGAGATACCACTTCCCGTACTGGAATGCCTCATTTCAATGCTTAGCTCTAATTGCTTAATCCAGCTTCCTGTTAATGCCCATCCTGAGATGTATTGGTGATGACTCAAGAATTGGTTTCCCACAACTCATATGGGAGACCAGGATTGAGTTCCTGGCTCCTCGCTTCAGGCTTGCCCAGTCCTTGCTATTTGAGAGTACTTTGGAGGTGAACCAATGGATAGGAGCACTCTCCATTTCTGTCCATCTGTTTTTCTATGACTGTCTTTCTTAAGTAAATTTTAAAAAGGGAAAACAAAAAGATTCCATAGAAGAGGAAAAAATAATTTAAAGAAAAACAACGATGACATTTTGTTCAAGGAAACTACTTGATAATATTTGAGACCTGTTTTGTTAACCCTAAATAATACTGATATATCAAAATATATTCATGACGATTATTTATCTTCAGTTTTATAAAACCTCATCTTTATTCAAGGAAAGTAAACCATAGAATTTATTCTCAGGCTTACTTGCCAGCTATATTCCATATTGATTCTGTTAACAAGAATCATTTGGCATTTGCATAAGATGAAGAGTGGAAGGAAAAAGAGAAGCTATTTGTCCCTGATTTTTACGTGGTTCCTAGGTAGATTAACTAATATTATCACAAAACAGACAGCATCACCTTGGATGTGAGAAATGGGAGTGAGTGGAACCCTTATTCTGGATATCAATATCACATGAACAATGCTCAACTTCTTATCAGATGAGTACATGTCTTTGCTGAAAAATCCTTGAAAATTCAAATGAATGTAGTGGAGGAAGTACACTCTGGGGTTGCTTAGAGTAGTCAGAATTTTCTAATAGCTCCAGGGAATTTGACATTCCTATTTGAGCTGTTTTCCCCCAAAGTATTTGTTCTTTCGATTTCTTCAATACTCATCTGAAGCTTCAAGTTTCTAATCTGAGGTTTCTCCTCAGATACAAACAAAATCAAAATAATTAAAAACCCCAGGACAATGGTATATGCAAAGCAGTGCTTCAATAAGTAGTTAATTGTTTCTCATTAGTACAAAGTTTAAGGTTATACGTTAAAAGCTGATCTTTTTGTTTTTCCTTGTGTACAAGTTACAACTGTCTGGATTTCTCTGACATGATAGCTACTAAAAGATTTATTTTTACTGGGAATAAATTATAATTTTTCAGCTAAGTGCACTGTCCTTTTATTAGTTAAGAAACAGTTAATATTCATATGAACAAGTTCTGTGTGTTAATTCAGGTACATGTCTGCTTTTCTTGACATTCTACGTTTGAACATATTGCTAATAGTGGGAACAAATGCTGATTATGAAAGATAAGACATCTACCCTCTAAGTATATTATTTAGCTGAGAAAGATTTTGTTTTATATAAGGGGTACACTATAATAATAACTACCTTCTTGATGACCAAAGGGCCCTCAGGACAATATATGTTTCAATTGCTTCACTGTATCCACAAGAAGACTAGAAGAAGGAACCATTACAAATTTGATCTGTTTTTTGTTCATGAAAAATTTCTATTTTCAAAAAAGAATCATTCTTTGTGTTTATAAGAAAATATATTCAGAATATGTGGTCTTTTATTTAGCATCTGTGGGTTTTAGGTTTTCAAGATTTTTTTTTTTTTTGACAGGTAGATTGGACAGTGAGAGAGAGAGAGAGACAGAGAGAAAGGTCTTCCTTTTGCCTTTGGTTGACCCTCCAATGGCCGCCACGGCTGGCACGCTGCGGCCGGCGCACCGCACTGATCTGATGGCAGGAGCCAGGTGCTTCTCCTGGTCTCCCATGGGGTGCAGGGCCCAAGGTCTTGGGCCATCCTCTACTGCACTCCCAGGCCATAGCAGAGAGCTGGCCTGGAAGAGGGGCAACTGGGACAGAATCCGGTGCCCCAACCGGGACTAGAACCCGGTGTGCCGGCGCCACAAGGTGGAGGATTAGCCTGTTGAGCCACTGCGCCGGCCTGGTTTTCAAGAATAATTGGTTCTGAAAAATGGAAGGATAAAGCTGCTCTGATTAGGACTGTGATGGTTTGGTTCTGGTAGTCAGGGAAAAGTTAAAAAAAAAAATACAAATAACAACACAGTAAATAAGAGGGAAGAGAAAATTCCCATGGCAGCAAATGGTCAACAGGTTGTACAATAATGAATTCCTTGAGATCAGGGGTTATTCTCTCTGTATTCAGCTCCTGACCAAATGCTGATAATTTACTAGGACCTAAGTAAATGTTTGTTGAATTGAGTCAATTGAATTTGCCCTATTAAGTCGGTAGTATTTCCTGTTTACATATGATTATGTCCAGACTTAAAACAAATTAACTAGCAGAGGTAGAACTGGGAGAACTTTGGATTTGAGTATGATATCCTTCTCTTCTCCCCTCTCTTTTCCCCTCCCCTCCTCACCCTTCCTCTCCTCTCTTCTTCTCTTCTCTCCATCTCCTTGCCTCTCAAATAAGTAAATTTTGAAAAATGAGCTATAGATTAGATTAGAGCTGATAAATTACTCATCAAAGGGCAGATTTGAGAAGCCTTTCTGGAAATGCAGGCAGGCCTGTTTTGATTGGGGACTTGGTAAACGGGAATAAGCTACTTAGGTATGACAAGGGGGAATCATGAGGACATTTCAAAAAGAAATTCCACCAGATTTACACATCACTGAAATTACTGAAACAGCAAATTCATTGAGTATACAATTACTATAACCAACTTCATTTCTATTTATGTTATTAAAAAATTATTAGTTAGAATAGCAACAACAATGAGGTGTCAAAGTGCTACAAACTATATCTGAATACTATTGAAAGCTTATGAACGTTATTGAAGAAAAAGTCTACTTTAAATAGCAACAACAGTGATAAACACTTCTGAGTATGTGTAACGAAGTTATGAAAATCCCCATAAAAATGATAAAAATTTTATTGAAACTTGCTAAATATAATTAAGTGGAAAAGTGATAATATTCAATAAAAGATGAAATTAAATCCAGTGACAAACTATGCTTATAAAGCGTCATAATATTATGAAATTTTCTGCAAACCTTAGATTGAGTCTGTGTAATCACAATCAGAATGCCAACAGTTTTTAACTTAAAAATCTTTTTTTATAGAGATTTATTTTATTTATTTGAAAAACAGAGTTATAGAGAGAGGTAGAGACAAAGAGAAAGTGAGGTCTTCCATCTGCTGGTTCATTCCCCAGATGACCGCAACGGCCAGAGCTGCGCCGATCCGAAGCCAGGAGCCAGGAGTTTCTTCTGGGTCTCCCACGTGGGTGCAGGGGCCCAGGGACTTGGACCATCTACTACTGCTATCCCAGGCCATGGCAGAGAACTGGATTGGAAGTGGAGCAGCCTGGACTCGAACCAGCGCCCTTATGGGATGCTGGCGCTTCAGGCCAGGGCTTTAACCCGTTGCACCACAGCGCTGGCCCCTTAACTAAAAATCTTATTCTAATATTTAAATAAGTTCATAATCAGTAAGTAGAGGCAATTTTTCTATTTAGTATAAAATTATTATTAAGTTAATAACAACTGAGACAGTGTATTCTTGGTTAAATGGGAGGAAAAGTGAATAATGGGACAAAAAAAAAAACCCTGTTCATATTTCAGCACATTCAGAAACGTGGTACATGAGTGAGGTGATATTGTCGAGCAGTGTGAATGTACAGAGGCTCAAAAATAGCAATTCATTTTAAGGAATGAATTTAATGAGCTCTCTATACACAGAAATGATTATTCTAAGTGAAAGACAAATATGAAAAGCAAAATTTTAGCATAAAATTAACATAGATTAGGGAGAAATTCCTTAAAGAAGCAAATGCCCATAAAGGTAGCAATTATAAATTTAGTTACATTCAAAATAAAACTTCTGTCCAACAATGAAATGATACGAAGAATGCATTAAATCTTTTATTTTAAAAATGCTTTATAGTATTTTATTATTTATTTATTTATTTGAAAGAGTTACAGAGAGAGAAGGGAAGATATATATAGAGAGATCTTCTATCTGCTGGTTCAGTCCCCAAAGGGCCACAATGGCCAGGACTGGGCCAACCTGAAGCCAGGATCCAAGAACACTATCCAAATCTCCCACATAAGTGCAGAGACCCAAGTACTGAATCATCTTCCTCTGCTTTCCCAGGCATCTTGGTAGGGAGGTCAGTAAGAAACGGAGCAGCAGGAACTCAAACCAGAGCCAACATGAGATCCAAGCATTGCCGGCAGTGGCTTACCCTGCTGCGCCAACATGCCAGTATTCTATAAAATGCTTTAAAACTTAATAAGAAAGTTCCAAAACTTTAAAAAATAGAAGAGTGAAAGACATGATCAATTTTTTCATGTAAATCACAAATGATTCATAAACAAATAAAATTTATTTCTCAATATAAAGAGTCATCCAAAGGGGTGGCACTGAGGCGTAACAGATAAAGCTACTGCCTGTGGCGCCAGCATCCCATATGGATACCAGTTCAAGTCCTTGGGGCTCCACTTCTGATCCAGCTCCTTGCCTATGTGCCTGGGAAAGCAGCGGAAGATGGCCTGAGTGCTTGGAAACCTGCGCCCATGTGATGTGGGAGATATGGAAGAAACTCCTGTCCCTGGCTCTGGCCTGGCCCAGCCCTGGCAGTTGCAGCCATTTGGAGAGTGAACCAGCAGATGGAAGATCTCTCTGTCTCTCCTTACTATCTCTGTAACTCTGACTTTCGAATAAATAAATAAAATCTTGAAAAAGAAAGATTAAAAAAACAAAGAAATTCAAATATAAACTAAAAGGCTATACCAGTTTATATTTCATATATTAGCAGAAACTACAGTATCTGAAAATGGTAAGGGTATAGAACAGGATTACATTTACAATTTGCTTGCTGAGAAAAAAAAAATTGGTACAGTCCTATTGAAAATATATGAGGATGTTATCTTCGAATTTGTGCATAAACCAACAGTAATCCAGAAATTTTGTAGCAACATATATATCATGTGGAAACTATTCTTCATACTCATGAAAATGTTATAAATTGATAGTGGTAAAATGGTGGAAACCACCCAGTTTATTAATAGGAAAATAGATATAACTAATTTGACAAATTTATGTAATAGAATAGTAAACAGCAATAAAATTAAATGAACTATAGATACACAAATAACAGAGCATCAGAAATATGATATTGAATGTGATTCACTAATAAAAAAGCAGTCAGTAAGGAATTTATACACATATTTATCAAGGCCCACAAATAAGGAAAACTGAACAAACCTAGTTAGGGCTACAAACTCAGGGGGAGAAACAATAAAGAAAAGCAAAGGGATGAGAAAATGCAATACAAAATACTGGTTACATTTGGTGAGTAGGGAGGAAGGTAATACTGGGGAGAGCACTGGAAAGGTATCAGTCACAGTGGTGATGTCTGTTTCTTAAGTTCAACAGAGACTTCAGTATGTTGTTGTCATATTTATTATTTATTTATATATATATTTACTTATTTTTTACAGGCAGGGTGGACAGTGAGAGAGAGAGAGACAGAGAGAAAGGCCTCCTTTGCTGCTGGTTCACCCTCCAATGGCTGCAGCGGCCTGCGCACTGCGGCCAGTGCACCGCGCTGATCCGAAGCCAGGAGCCAGGTGCTTCTCCTGGTCTCCCATGCGGGTGCAGGGTCCAAGCACTTGGGCCATCCTCCACTGCACTCCCGGGTCACAGCAGAGAGCTGGCCTGGAAGAGGAAAACCGGGACAGAATCCGGCGCCCTGACCGGGACCAGAACCCGATGTGCCGGCGCCACTAAGCAGAGGATTAGCCTATTGAGCTGCGGCGCCGCCATATTTATCATTTATTGTAAATAATATATAAAACGTTGACCATGATGGAATATTTGGAATTTGACACGAACTCTCTTAAGTATGGGATGATAACAAAATGATGTTTCTAAATGTTGATTTAAAATGATGACAAAACAATTAATTGGGTAGCACATTTCATATCTTTAGCCTTAAGTTGTTGGAGGTGTTGAGAACATTTATATAGATTTAACAAGCATCATTATAGTGTTGATAGGACCCCATGATGCACCTGAGCCTGCAGCTTCTAAGTAAGAATGGGGTGCCTCTTCCTCCTACTTTCACTTTGCATCTCTGGTTCCTTCTATTTCCAACTCCTTTCATAGGCCTGACATGGCTAATCTAAGTATCCTTTCCTTGTAATGATTTGCTTAGTATCTATTTTAGTTGTGCATTGTATCATTCTCAGAGTATTTAACATTTCTGTTTGCTTGTTTTTTATTTGTAGGTTATCTCTACCTTCCTATACACAATAAGCTCTAACAAAGGGGGAAATGTCTGTTTCTCTTATAATTCTATAATTGATTTAAAGCCTAGGTGTAAGAATTTGTGGATAAAGTGTTAAATAAATGAGTGCAGACTGTGATGAACTGACTGCTATGGTTTGGGTAATATCTGAGTGTTTCCAGAGGTTTATGTGCTGAAATGTTGGTCTTCAGGATGGTGATGTTTAAAGGTGGTAGAAACTTTAAGAGGAAGGGTCTAGTAGATGATGTAGTCCTTAAGGGCACTGCCCTTGGAAGGGATTTCTGTACTTCTCACACACCCTGATTAGTTCTTTCAAGAGTGAGTTGTTGTAAAGGGAGGCTGTTCCCTTCCCATGTCTCCACCATGTAGTGCTGTTCCAAGGAGAACCTGACTAGAAGCCCAATTTACTGGGCTGCTTCCAAAACTGTGACATAAATAAACTTTTTTCTTTGTAAATTACCAAACCTCAGATGTTTTTTAAAAGCAACAGAAAAGGAGGAAAGGCTCCAACCAACACTGGGTCCAAAGCGCTAACTTTTCATCTCCATGTATCAGTAAGAGAAATTCCAGACTAAGTCCCTGAAGGCTGGATTTGTCTAAGTGAAATTAATGTGCCCTTGTATCATGGATGATCCACTACCCAAAGGTTTCAAGGGATACGAGGCCAACTGCATTTGGTTTCTTATTTGCAGATTCTATTCATTTGTGGATTGATGTTACTTACACGTTTTATGGATTTCCCTAATTTCTCTAATCTGAACAGAGATGAACTGTGAAGCTGTTTGTGCCTCCATATTTACTAATAATTGCTGCATGGCTTTTACTTAAATGTACATGAGGCAATGCAAAAATGCAACAGGTAACTTATTTTTTAGCTTGTTGCAATAGACAAAGCCTGATGTGATCCTAGAAATGGAATGGTTTTCATTCTATTCAGTGAAAATTGTACACACACACACACACACACACACACAAAAGGTTTGTTTTTTTTTTTAATCAGCTCCATTAGTAGACAAAACTGTAAATGTGACAACTGTTCAATAACATTAAAAAATTCAAAGCCAGGTCTATAAACTTCAGAGCTTGAACAGCCACCTGATACCCTATATAATAAAAGCTCAATAAATTGAAGTCAAATTAGAGGGAATTTTCCTACCTGAGAATCGAAATGGCAAATTATAAGCTTAAAACGTTAAAGGAGAATTTGAGAAAATTGCAGAATGATTATAAGGATCATGGCATCTGTGCTGTGCTGTGTATGTGTATATAGTGTACCTTCATACTTGGCAGTTTTCAATATCCAAAGAATTTTTACAACAATTTCTTAAATACAATAATGAAAAATGTAAGTGGAACCCAAGAGAAATTTTATGTCCCATAAGTGAAAAGGCAAAGAAATCAAATTACTTTGAAATAAAAAGATTCACATCCTTTAGATCAGTCCCCACAGTCCCCTAGTGGATTAATACTTTCCTTGCTTGCTTTCTTTTACACTGAAGCTAATAATTAATTAACTGAAAACTGTCTACACTACAGCAGGTGCTTCTTAGTTTTGCTTCGGGATGATACTAATGAAGAGATAGTGAGAAGAATCATGAAGTGAGGATAATCTGAGAATAACACGTGGCACTCCTTCTCTCCTAACGAAGGACTCTGCTAGCACAAAGGCATCGCAGGTGCAAAAGACACATACTGAGAAAACAAAAAGTTGAGAATAAAGGAGCGCTAAAGTGTGTGTTTTAAAGCACGTAGCTTGGTAAGACAATAGAATTGGTTTATTTTGTTTCATTTGCTTGACCTCTACTTCATTTGATCTTTTCCTTTTTTTCAGGTATTTCAGTTTCTGGTACATCTTAATTCTTCCTGTAATCATATTCACGCATATCCCCCAAAAACCGTATCTCTGCCTTATTGAAAGCATACACAAACACTGTCATGTATGTTCACATGAACACACATAAAATATGCACTCAAAATTGTACCAAAATACATGTATCACAAATGTATACACTTACACATACAAGCAAGCTCAAGTGCACACACATTTCAAAAATACTATACATGTACACATATACACACATACTCACTGGATGGTGAAAATTATATTTATTGAGATATAATTTCCTGGGTGAATGTTTGGCTGCTAGGGACACTGGCATCACATATTAGGGTGACTATATTTGAGTGTAAGGTTTGCTTCTGGGGCTGGCACTGTGGCATAATGGGGAAAGATTCCGCCTGCAGTGCCGGCATCCCATATGGGCGCCAGTTCTAGTACTGTGAGCTCCACTTCTGATCCAGCTCCCTGCGATGGCCTGGGAGAGCAGTGGAGGATGAACCAGGTCCTTGGGCTCCTGCACATGCATGGGAGATCCAGAAGAGGCTCCTGGTTCCTGACTTCAAATTGGTACAGCTCCAGCCATTGCGGCCAACTGGGGAGTGAACCAGTGGATGGAAGACCTACCTCTGTCTCTCTCTGCCTCTCCTTCTCTCTCTGTAACTCTGACTTTCAAATAAATAAATCTTAAAAAAAGAAGTTTGCTTCCGATTTCAGCTTCCTTCTAATTCACACCTTTGGGGTCATGAGGTGATGGCTCAAGTGATTGAGTGCCTGTCATTCATTTGGGAAACTTGGACTGAATTCCCAGCTGCTGGCTTTGGAATGGTCCATCCTCATCTGTTGTAGGCATTTGGGGAGTGAACAGTAGATAGAAAATATCTCTATTTTTGTCTCTCTGGCTTTCAAATTAATTAATTAAAATTTAAAAAGTAATAATTTAAAAAATGAGAAACTCTGAAATAAAAATATCAGTTTCACAGGGAGACCTGGTATGGTTGAATAGGGTATAGTGGTACTAGCTTCAGGTGCTCTGGGATATGAAAAAACAAAGGAAGAACTCCGGTTCCAGGGTTCTGAGGCCGGCCAGTGGGGCTGGGAGTCTATGTATGGGCCCCTTCAGATATAGGTAGAATGTTCTTCCCAAGCAGGCTGCCAGCTGTGGCTGGATAGCCTGTCTCCAGGCCAACTGGCATTTCACCCAATAATAGCTTCTTGTGCTGCCTGTGTAACCTTGTGGCTTTAAATCACACCTTCAGGGTGGGTGCAAGCTTTAACTCAGAGCTGGCAGGGCAAGGGGCTGAGCACCTGGGGAGAGTTGGACTGGCTCCAAGAGACCCTGGCTATCTTGTATAGCCTTGTGGTTTTAAAGAACCTAAAACAGTTGCTCTTGGATTTAAGTAAACTAACAGCATTAAATTTAAACTAATATTGCACTTAATACTATGTTCCTCAAAAAGACAATGGGTCTAGATGAGTCTAATAATCTTCTCCCTATTCTTAAAAATATAAAAAAGTAGCTGAGGCTGGAGGATCACCATGTAAGTATGAATAGTAGCGGGATGAGGAGAGAAAGACCAAGCATATATTCTACTTAAGTAATTCCACAAATTTTTGGCTGAAGTAACTTATGGAAATTGGTTCAAAGAGGACATAAGGTGCAGAGATCACATTTATCCATTCATTTAGTCATCAAATATTTAATGAATAACTATCAAGTATGTGCTACTTTTGTAGACACTGGAAATACAGACACTAAGTAATAGTCATGGGCTGGCGCCGAGGCTCACTAGGCTAATCCTCCGCCTGCAGCGCCGGCACCCCGGGTTCTAGTCCCAGTTGGGGCACCGGATTCTGTCCTGGTTGCTCCTCTTCCTGTCCAGCTCTCTGCTGTGGCCCAGGAGTGCAGTGGAGGATAGCCCAAGTCCTTGGTCCCTACACCCGCATGGGAGACCAGGAGAAGCACCTGGCTCCTGGCTTTGGATGAGCGCTGTGCGCCGGCCGCAGCAGGCCGGCTGCAGAGGCCATTGAGGGGTGAACCAACGGAAAAAGGAAGACCTTTCTCTCTGTCTCTCTCTCTCTCACTGTCCACTCTGCCTGTCAAAAAAAAAAGTAACAGTCATGGACTTCACCCTCATGGAGCTTATATTTTGGTAGACACAGGTGTCTAAACAAATAAGAGTGTGTATCTGTATATGTTACATTTTCATGCATGATATCTATATATAGTGATATATATGTGGACAGTGCATAAGTATGCATATTTTAGAGCACTAGAATATCAGGAATAAATGTTCTGAAGAATTGAAAATGGTGTAAGAGAATAAAGCTTAACCAGGCCTGGTAGTTTAAGTACTTGAAGAAGAGGTGCAATTGAACAGAGGACAGAATGCTGGGATGGGTTTGCAGTAGTTATGGTAAGAACATTTGGAAATGCATGAAATTTGTACACCTTAAATATAATTTAAAATAATTTTAAAGAATAAAAAGCTCAAAAAAAGGAATAATATTTGGGCAGCCAATATAGCCAAGGTAACCCCTGAGCTTGGTGTGGCTTGATTTCTGTGAAGCCCTTAAGATGGAATTGATGAAGTGGTGAATGGGAAGTGTCAAACCTCAGAAGCAGCCAGCACTTGATCTTGGAGTGCCTATTGGTCTTGAGAAGATATGGTGAAGAGAGAAGGGACAGACTGGAAATGAAAAGTTAGCTGATTTGTTGTGCTTTTGTAAAGAACACTCCGGATGCTGTCACAAGGGTGAAAACTAAGTGATAAGGTACAAGAATGCTGCAGGAGTCTAGGCCTGTGGTGAGTTAACCTTGTCTGTCCTTCACAATCTTGACATTACTGCCATCTATCTTTTACTCATGTTGAATAAACAGGCACATACGTGAAGGCTGTTGTTAAAATGGGTCCTTGCCTTTCTTTTCAAAAGACTAAATGTTCCTGGCATTTTTATACTAATTTTATTCTTATTTAATCATTTAACTTGTCTTTCTTTGTAACCTCTCCAATTTATGCACATTTATCTAAAATTGCAGTATCCAAAAATAGAATCATGGCACCAAGGGTGTTCAAAGTAAGATCAAGAAAATTAAGCCTAGGATGCAAATTTTTTGATGTTGACATTAAATGTACTGTGATTATTCAGCCAGTTGTCTTTTTGATCAAAGAGTCTGTTATTGGAGGTTTTGTGACTGATATGAAAGAGTTGTTAATTTGAAATTTTGTTCTCAAGAAGACTCTTAGGTCAGGCTTCCCTAGAAATAGACATGGAGAGGGAGCCTGTGTCCAGGAATTGATTTTGGAGTGCTCCTGGAACTCACAAGTGTAAGAGAGAGAGAGAGAAATCGGACTGGGCAGAGGTAAAAGCACCCTGCAATGTAATTTTAATAAAGAGCTCAGAAATTTCCTGTATGATCTAATTCAAGACAAGATATGATCTTCATACTCCCCTAATCACCAATCAAAGAAAAATGCTTTGGATGGAGATAGAACCTTTAGCAAGGAGACTCCTATTGGCCTGAGAATATTATTTAGACAGGGATTCAGGCATGAACCTTTGCAGATGGGTGAATGCCTTGGTCCTGAGTCAGGGATCTGAGCAATAGAGTGTTCTCTATTGTACCTGCTTACTGATTTGTCATTTCAAGCAGGGGTGATATAGAGCATTTGTCCTTTTATGTGTCTCGTCTTTCCAGAGTTGTTTCTTTAAATCTGACCGTGAAAAATTATTCAGTTTTACTACTCATTATTTACAATTAGCTAAGGCTCAGTATTGTTCTCATCTTTTCTGTAAATACTTCCTTTCTAACCACATCTTGCCACATCTGCTGAAAGTAGCCGAAAGTACTGTGAATTATACTTTGATTCTTTAATTACAATAAGGTAGAAAACCAAAGGTCTTTTTTAAATTAAAAGCAATGGGTCAAATATTACAGAAATAGTATGTATTCTATCATATTAATGTTTACTCTGCCCTGTTACAATCAGTTTCCTGGGAGTAAGAAACTTTGGTTGTCATTGTAATCCTGAGCTCCACATCTGATAGATTCTGGTGAGGTCAGCACTTGGGAGCTGCAAGTGTCCATTCAAGCAAACTGCAAGAATGCTCTAACCTTTATTTACATTGCCCTGGGCATAAATTGTAGATTCCCAAGGAACTGAAATGTCTGGCTTATTTTGCCATTTTGGGTGCTAAAAACAAACTTCTTTATTTCTACACAGGCAAAAATTCCTACACAAAGAGCTTTGAGGTGAGGACTATTATTTGCCTTCCATGAATGAAAACAGAAATAAAGAGTAAGTAAAGGAGTTTTCATTATACTGCTTAGTAAAAATTGTGATTGTTTTTCTATTCATTTGTAGTGACTTATTGAAACACATTACATCTGGAGCGTTAGGCATGATTTTTTGATTTTCTTAAATGTATCCTCTGTCACATATCACCAGACCCCCCAAAAAATCATCTCTCTTATTTGAATTTGTATGGCAGTTGTAATGATGCAACAGTGTCACAGATCAATAACTGTGTGCTGGTTAACAGAAAAATGTGTCAACTGGGGCTCTGCAAGTAACCAATTCCATGATTTGATAAAAATAATGTTGAAGCAGATCAACCAGTAATGTTAAATCCAAGCCTATGCATGGAATGCTGTAGAATGAGAA